TAGAAGAATAAAGAGAGAAGAGAAGATGCTGATAGATGACTTGGATGAACGTGCTATGAGTGGATTAAAAGAAGCAGCAATAAACATCGATCAGATAGAGTTTCACCATGGCAACATAGTCAGTACACATCATTACCTCCAAACACTGGTGCATCATGGGAACGCTGTTCATCTGCTGTCTACCAGGACTGAAACTAATAAGCAAATTATGCAAATCGTTGCCATGGAAACAAAACCACCAATCAGTCATGGGATCAGTGTGTTCCAGTCCAAAAGTGACCTTGGTGCAGAATCATTACTAGGAGTGGTCAAATCTGATGCCTGTCCATTCAAGTGTACAGTTGAAAACATTCCAAAACAACTCTTCAGAGGAAAACAGACCATTCCCCGTCAAGATGTCCAGGTGAAGATAAGGAGACCTGATGCATCATAGGAAAATATAGATGTTACAGAAAATAGCAATGGGACACATCATGTGATGATAACAGGAAAGATGGAAGAAAAACAGCAAGTTGTCATAACGATTGGTAACCAACAAATACCAGGATCACCATTCCATATACTGGTAAGTAGATTGGTACAGACAGTGGGAAAAGGAGAGCTCAATCTTCCACATGGACTCACCATAAATAAACATGGTGACTTTGTAACATCTGATAGGGGTAACCAAAGCGTTGTCATATGTGACAGAGACGGACATTTCAAACAATCATTTGAATTTACTGATCAGTTTGCAGAGCCATTCACACCATGTGATGTAGCAATATCAGATGATAATGAATACTTTATGACAGATGACAATAACAAACAAATAGTTGTGAGTGATGACTACGGGAAGTTGATTAGAAAGTTTGGAAGCTCTGAAATTGATGATCCACTTGGAATTGCAATCAATCCTGTTACTAACAATGTGTATGTGAGTGAGTATAGTGAAGGGTACATTAGGAAATATACACAGGATGGGAGATACATCAACTCACTTGGAATACAGGGGGGATAAACAGGGAGAGTTGAATGAACCTTGTATATTAGCTATTAACAGTAAAGGGATGGTGTATGTGGCTGATCATAACAATCACCGTATTCAGGCATTTAATTCTGACGACCAGTTTATGTTTGAATTCTCTACCACTGGTGACAACGATACAATGAAGTATCCTAGGGGAGTAGCTACAGATAAGAATGATTATGTATATGTGAGTAGTGAACATGAAGTCACTAAGTATGACAGCTATGGTCAGTTTATTTGTAGGATGGATTGTGATAATGATGGACTGAGTCGTCCACAGGGTGTAGCAGTGTGTAATGATGGTAAAATAGCTGTAGTGGATTTTGACAATAAGTGCATAAAATTCTTTGTAGAGTAAAGCTAATTTCAGCAAATTGGAATATACACCCACAAAACAAAGAGGACATATTTTTCCATGTGAAGGATGGATAAAAGTAAAGGCAGGTAACTTAGACTCTAACCATACACTGTGATGGAAAACACCAATCACACTGAACTTGTATGTGATATCATCTTTCATACAGTACTGTACAATACTATATTGTCACATGGTTGCAAAAATAACCAATGGAAATGGTTTGCATGTAATAAATCAATGAAAATGAGTTATATATCTCGACTTGTATTGTATGTTTGCAGCAGAAATTAATTTCAGCTACAAAAAAGTAGAATCTGGAAATACCGGTAATAAATAAGTACAGAGAGTAGAGAGTAGAGATCGGGATAGAGATAGGGGTCATCTCACAATGTAGTCAAAAGTATTCTGCAGTGATAATAAAAACAGACACTTAGAATTCTACTGTGACACTTGTTTGTGTCTGTATGCTTAAAATGAACCATAGTTAACCATAGAAGACCTGGACATGTCCATAGAGACTTACAGGTGGTGGCAGATGAGTATACCCTACATATTCGACTTAGCACCGAGGGTACTCAGGTCCAAAAATCGTGTCTTAGAGAGATGGGCATTTATACGACACCCAAAACAGAAAAGTGTACAAAAGACAATTTTAGCTCACCACATGACAAATTGAGGGATTAATACGTCTTTTTGGTATTTAATAAAATTACTGATACTTGCGGCGTCATTGATTTCAACAACACTTTTACAATGAAGAAACAAATGGTCTCAAAACATATGCACATTTTATTAATTACGTACCACCTGAATTATGAGGTTAAAATTATTAGTCTGTTGGAACACAATCAAAGTGAAAATTGATCGATGTGTTTGATAATATACAAACTCTTGATGCAATACATTTTCTGTCAGTGGAGTATACCATACTGCGCCCAAGATACTCATCCCAAAATATTGTACATTTTAGAGGGGTAGAGCACCCACCTCAAAACATAGTTGAACTCTGGTGACCCTTTGTTATATAATATTAATCCCCTTATCATAGTTTGTTTCAATATGAATATGCATTGTCATAATTAATTTTGAATACAAACAAGTTTTGGGGTTGAAACAACAGCAGGAAAGCAGTTTACCGAATGTGTAGCTGCCCCAGTAACGAATGCAAAATACTGATGTAACCTTCACTTTATTTACGACGAACAATATTGAGAAGATTGTAACACCGTCAAAACTGTGAAATACAAGAGTATACGTTCAGAAAATAATAACATGAACTTGCGTATTTATATTGTCATAAGTACCAGTGCTACTATGTAAATAGATAGGCAATGATATACAGCATAGTGCGCCACCTAGTGGCGAGACTAGACGAATCTATCGTACATGTACACACAAAATATGGTAACGTTATACATGAATCTGAGCTCATACGAATAGATTACAAACTGTACATGGAATGTGACTTGCATAATCGTATAGAAAATGACTGAGAATTTTAGATGAGTGTAAACTCAACTACACGAGTGTCAACTCAACTACAAGACTGACGGCGACTCGGCATGCAAACTACGCCAACGATAAATCAACTAAATCGATAAGGCTACCAAACTACTCTAAACATAACAAATCTCTTCTCAAATAATTCTCTAGTAACTCCTCAAACGTTACCTACCTCGTTGGCAGCATAAACAATACTTGGGCAGCGAAAAAGACGAAAACTAGGTGCAGTGAAACGAGCGTTTCACTTCCAGTGAAAGCGAAAAATGGCGACTGCCCCAATCCTCGTACAGAGCGCGCACAACACCAAAAACTGCCGTGAGATAAATAAACGAGTGGAAGCACTAAAAGAATCAGGAACATGTCAAACAACAAAACTACAGTACCTATTAGTATAACCTGTAGTAAAATTCGTCTTTCACGTGTACATAGCACGCAGACAAATGAACGAGGCTAAACAAAGCGCGGGAACGCAGCAAAGTTTCGGTTGCTCGGGCAACGGCAGCCACAGATTGTCCTTGATTGATGTAAATATCTTACAAAAAAATTGGTGCCTAATTTGTTTAATTATTTTAAGGGACATAATTTCCAGCTTTATTCGAAATAATTCAAATATTTTAGTGTAAAAACAAATGCTGTATTTAGATGTCAAAAATCAATGATTCACTGAGACAAATATGAACTGCCTTCTTATATTCATTGCGTGACTACTGTATTATATGAAAAGTAAAAAACGCCCTCTATGAATAGCTATCATGTTGCAAGCTCTGCTTTGTATGCAAATCAACTTAAATAGTTAGTTGGTGTCCAGTGGAGAGAGAAGTCAACAGTACTGTTGCCTCCTGAGAATCTACATCTTCAAACACTGCAATCTTTGTTTTTAAAGTGCGTTTTTAAATTAGTATTATAAAAGCTCTATCATTCTGTTCTAATAGCTGAAACAAATTTCTGTGAATTTGGACATGGTAAGACTTTAGGATTCTTGGAATAAATCCAAAAGTTGAAGAGTGTGCGTGACTGGCTGTATATAGAATACTCCCTAGGCTGATAATGATTTGAAAAGCATTACACCTAGCCTGCATCCAGCCATTATAGATACCAATTAAAAACAAATGCATATTGTGAATTTTCACTTTCCTAGGGAGTTCAGAACGATATTTTTATCAGAAACTTCCGTCATATGTATACAGCTATGGCTGCATCCAAAAAGTCTTTCCTGAACGAAATTGGTGAGGAATTCCTCAGCTGTTCT